TTTTTGTACTTGAACTAGATTGTCTAAAATAGGCATCCTCATCCGCAGTACCCAGAACCTCGCTCACTGTTGTGTGCACTACAATTTGCAATTTGGAAAAGTTGCTGTATTGAAATTCTGTCAGTACGCAGTTCTTTGAATACTGATGTTCTCTCCCAAACACTGGTTACCGCAGCAGCGTTTTTCATGGGCGAAAGAAGAAAGGCCACTAAGGCCAAAGATTTTTAAAAATCATTGTACAAATTCTTACGTTAAATTAAACTAAGCTTTGCTGTAATACTGTTTTCTCTTCAGTATGTGATGGTACAGGAATGTTGTTAAATGAAGGGCGTAGTGTTGCAGGGGAGCATTTTAAATCGCAGAAGTAAAAAGTTATAATATTTATAATTTTGATGAGTTTATTTTTATAGGGAAGGTTTTTCTTCCCTACAGTTGTTTCTGGAATGGCAAATTGTTTCCATTATTAAAAGTCGAAGTTGTTGATGTTTGTTCATGTGTTTTTATTTATGGCTCGTAATATGCCAGGTGAAAGAAGGTCACGGGGGTGGGGCGAACTTCTGCAGATATGTGAGGACCATACGGGAATGCAGTGATTTACTGGGTTTGAGTGGGGCACATTTGTTCCCCCAGGGGTTGTTTCCTTGGTCTTATCCTCTGGGGAAAATAACCCTGGCCGAGTGTCTGCCCATACAGCACATTTTAATTGTGAAACGTACATCCACTCAAAAGTGTATAAGGGGCACTTGGGTGACTGAGTTGGTTAAGCGTCTGACTCTTGATTTCGGCTCCCGTCAGGATCTCATGATTTGTGAGTTCGAGCCTGGCATCAGAGCCTGCTTGGGATTCTCTCTGTCCGTCTCTCTCTGCCTCTTGTTGGCTCACGTGCATGCGTTCTCGCTCTCTCACAAAAAAGACAACAAAACACAAACGCATATAAAGCATGTGAACAAAGAATTGACACGAGGTGGGCAGCCCGTGGCCACGACCAAACGGGAGGGCTATCATCAGTTCCTTAGCAATCCTCTCCCTCTACCCTCCATTCCTGCCTTTAGGTCTCCTGTCCTTGAAACATACCACTGTTAACATTAAAGGTATTTGTGTTTTTTGGCCAACATGACTGTCTTACACGGTATGGTGGGATGGTGAGTGGTTGGTGGTCAGCAATGGTGACTGGGTAATATGCTCTGTGTGCAGACCTCCATGCCCGCCGAGGCAAGTGTTTTTTTTTTT